GGGGCACTCGGCGCGGAAGTAGGGGGGACGCTCTCTCTCTCTGTCTCTCTCTGCGAGACTCTCTCCAGCGAGATAGTAGTGGGCCTGAGTCTGGGAAGAAATGGTGAGTTTGTACTGATGTGTTTCGTGATTCAGAACAAACTAACTCTTGGCGCATGTTGATAAGCTTGCATATTATGGACAGTCTCCTTCTGAGCAGATAAGCCCTTTTTAAGAAGGAGAGGGGCTCCGGGGTGGGTGAGACGGTTATCTCGTGTAAAATGCTGAGATAAGATAGAAGTTGAACGTCTAAATGGCTCACGCACCCCGGATCCCCCCCCCCTTTCCTAAAATTAGGTAAAAATACACAGAAATAACATAAAAAAGCCATGAAACGTCCCTAAACACCGTTATGGGCCTGACTACTCTTCCTTCTCTACTATCTTGCTGAGAAGGGCCCAGGGTGCCGCGCCGCCTGCCGCGCCGCGTGCCCCCCCCCAACCCACTTAGCACCACACAATCTTAGTTCTCTCTATAAGTTTCGAAGAGCATTTTCAGGTGAGTTTCTTCCAAATATCTACTGCCATCATTCGTTTAATCCTTGCAGATAACATCTGTTTCTGTCATCGTGTGACGAGTGTTAAGTTTTTAGGTAAATTCATTTTGGATATCCCTTACCATTATTCAATTAATCCTTGCAGATCTGTTTTTGTCTTATATCAGTTTCTGTCCCGTACTGTTTCTAATATCGTGTGATGATTGTTGCGTTTTGAGTATCTCTTACCATTATTCAATTAATCTTTGCAGATCTGTTTCTGTCTCATGCTGTTTCTAACACCGTGTGACGAGTGTTGCGTTTTGAGGTCCCATACCATTATTCATTCAATCCTTGCGGATCTGTTTCTGTCTCATGTCTGTTTCTGTCATCGTGTGACGCGTGTTGTGTTTTAAGTGAGTTCATTTTGAATATCCATTACTACTTCTCATTTGAACAACTGTTACAACTTTTTTATCCCTCTTTTACTGATGTTTTTGTGAATCATGAAAGTTTTGAAGGGTAAGATGTGTTTTTTTAAGATGTATTTTGGTGTTACAACTTTTTTATCTATCTTTTACTGATGTTTTTCTTTCGCTTTCCTTTTGCTTTCTACTTGATGTTTTTGCCTTTTTTTTTGCTGAGTAGCTTTTCTCAGGAATCCCGAACAATATCGGAGGAACGCTTCTTGTGTACGGATGATGAGGAAGTTAGACATAGGTAGCTATACCGACATCTTTCTGGTCGTCTGAGTACACCAAGAGGCAGTTGGTCAACCTGAAACGCCTTAGAGCCCAGGCAAAAAAGAGAGGAGACTCAGAGAATAAGGAGATCATCACATGTGAGAACTGCGATGAGGACCTCTCGCTGAGAAATCCTTTCCTCGTGCATCAACGACACTGCATACAGCTTGAAGCGGGTACTGCGGCAAATATTCTTCAATGAGAAAGGTGAGAGTCCTCTCACTTCTACAGATCGAAATGTGGTATGCCCAGAATACATTGTTCGAGTTCGCATGAAGCAAATGAGGGGTACCACCTAAGCAAGCTGGCATTTGACAACAACGACGATTTCGAGGTAATGGAGGGTGTACGACAAAGTTCATTAGACGAGTAAAGCGGGACTCTAGGTGTGGCTGAAAGCAGCACAGGAATCATCTGTGACAACCTTTACGGCACGAAGCAAGAAAACGGACGGGGGTGTGTCACGAGTCTACTGCAGGCGCCATCGGTCAGTAACTCTACCTTTGTCTGCATTATCGTCTAATATGAGTCCGTCCGTCACTGCACAGCATTTATAAATGTGAGTCGTCACAAAATAGCCCTGCATTTCAGGCAGTGATAAAGTTAGACGCTTTAGACGAGATTCACTTCAAGCATGAACATTATCAAATACTCTCTTGCGCACATAGGACATGAGGCAGATCCTTCGCAACTATGGTTGGGCAAAACTGACGAAATATAATATTTGTAGTGGAATTACATCGTGAAGGACTCAATTATGAACAAGTCAAAGAGAAGATCAGGAAAAATTCAGTTGTGAAGAAGGCTTCGCTTGGAGAGAAAACCGCCTGTTGTTATAACGGCTAGCGATTTAAGATTAGCTAACGTGCACTACAAAAAGAAACTGCTCTTTAATCACGCGCCACATCTTTCACAAAGATAGCTAAACGCATCAATCTCTTTCCCTGGAAGGCGTGACTCGAATGACATCTTCTCACCCGAGAAGAACATCAATGGAATAAATATCAACGACGGGTTTCGTTACTATGCCTCCAGTATCGATGGCACCGGTGAAGGATTTTGTTTAGGTAAGGAGTGGCTTCAAACTATGTCTCTAAAGGCATTGTACCTACACAGTTATAGTAAACGAAACACAGAAGAGGTGCTTGGCCGAGCTTTCACGCAAGGGTATTGGAATTGATGACACATTCAACGTGTCTATGTATAAGCTTCGCCTTGCTACAATCATAGTAGCAGACCATTGTGACCGTCGGATCCCAGCTGCATTTATGCTTAGCTTTAGGTACTGGTTAGTCAAATTTTTTGATGCCGAACCATAAGAGTCGTTTTGCAGAATGAGTAGAAATGAACTGGTCATTCTTTTCGACGACGTCATTGAAGTGTGTCCATTTTTCTCGCCCAGCTTCTTTATGAGCAACGAAGCCTCATCGTTTTATAATACAATTTCGAAGTGTTTTCTGGTGCGTCCACACGTACAATGCTTTGTAATTGGCACGTGCTGTAATTCTTCAAGCGTTCTGCGAGGAACAAAATACCAAGGTTCTTTGAGGCAGGATTAAGCTCGCCCATTGGGTTAGTTTCAATTTGTAGTATTGCAGCAATCCCTGATTGGCGAGTTCATGACGAGCATCCGACTTGTCAGCAAGTCATCCAGCGCTGTGATCATCACAAAATGATATGGAGACTGCCTTACCTTCTACTGAAGGAAAAAGAACAAGAAATGGTCAACTACATGCATCAAAACTGGTAAGTTTCTCTGCATTCTGTCGACTTTGTACAAATATTCTTGTAATGACAGGACGCACAGCATAGAGGATTGGAGCGCTCATCGCAGGAAAGGAGCGGTAATGAACACATCTATGATGCATGAAAGATGGCAAAAACGCCTCAAGAAAAAAGGAAACTTCCTCAGCGCGGTGCTCCTTCCCTCCTGAAGCTTGGCTAAAAATTTTCATTCCCCTGATTTAACACGGCATAATGCGTTCGATTGAGTTCATTTAAGTTCATTCCTTGTTATACTAACATTGTGATAGGTCCCCGCCCCCAACTACATTTTGACCGACACGAATTAATACGGTGATGCGTGTTGTTCCGTATCGTGCTGTTATACAGCAGTAGTTTGGGGAGGAGGGGGGGGGGGGGGGGGGGNCAATGTTTGTCTAAAAGGGTATTTTTTCCATCTCTTCGCGTGAGGTAATCATTTTATCATCCATGTGTTCCTCCCCAACTTAGGCCTAGTTTAAGAAACTAAATTTCCTTGACTAGAACCGCTCAAAAGAACACAGATAGTCGTTGAACACCTTCCTCATCGTCCTTGATAATCACAGGGATTCTAACGTCCCGTGAGCGTATGACACCGTCACCCCTTAGTACCCCACCCACATTAGTGTGTATTTTACCCGAGTCACCTTTACTTTCCGTCGTATATGTGTGCTTGGAGGCGCTTCAGAGTGTGTTCGGGTTACTGTATCACACATTATGGGACGATTGAATCGTCTTGTTCACTGATACAGTGCTAATTTATAAGGATTAACACGTTAGACTGAGTTCATTTCTTGATATACCAACCGTGAGATGGGTGCTCCCCCACCCCACCCCCTAACTACATTATCACCTGTTGTATTTACACTGTGGGACCAAGGATCATCTGTGCCCTAGAATGCGGTTTTCTGGTGAAATGTAGTTTTCAACGTGTTTTACCAGGAGATGATCACTGGGGAGGATGAGGTGATCACCTCGTACGAAGAGCTCGGAAGCAATTGAAAATTTAACTATTTCTCCCACTCCATTACGCCTTTCCTCCCAAAGTTTGGGTAGTAACTACATTTCCCTTTACAACACGGAATAACTCCTGACGCAGTGTCAATTCTTTTTTATACTGACACTGTTATGTGAGCCTCCACCTCCCTCAACTGCGTTTCCAACCGAAAGCCCCTCTTATCACTTCTGTTGGCTCCACGACTTCGACAGCAGCACCAAATCAACACGGTGTTACATGTTATGTTATGCTATCATTGTCAGGGACGAATACCGGCCATCTGTGGGCGTTTTACATCAGGGGAATATTACTCTTAACGTGAATCCTATCAGAGGATGAACGAGATGAACACGAGGGTGGGTGAGATGATTACCTCGCGGGAAGGGTAACAATTGTATAATATAGTTAGCTACCTCTCCCACTCCGTTGATCCTTCCCTCCCAAAGCTCAGAAAAAAACTGCATTTCCCTTGTATAACACGGAGTGACACGTAACGCCATGTCAACTCCTTGTTATACCAACGCATGTGCCCCTACCCTCACCCCCTCCCCAACTAAATCTTTACCTAAAAGCCCATACGTATCACCGGTGAAAATGTAGTTGGGGGGGGGGGGGGGGGGG